CTACCCTTGGTATAAAACTGTTACCCCTTGTCCTATCACTACAGGCCCTGGCAAAAAGTCTTTCTCTTTTTTTCTTGTAAGCCCACTTTATATATTGAAAGGCACAAATAAGGTCTCCCCACAGCCTCCTCTTCTCCAGGCTGAAAAACCCCAATTGTCTCAGCCTTTCTTCATAAGAAAGGTGCTCCAGCCCACTGATCATTTCTGTAACCCTCCTCTGGACCTCCTCCAACAGGTCTATGTCTTTCTCATCCTGAGGACCTCATAACTGGATGCAGTACTCCAGATGGGGGTCTCATGAGAGCAGAGTAGAGGGGGAGCATCAGCTTATATCTAATTTATTTTTTTGTCCACCAGCATCCCCAAGTCCTTCTCTGCAGGGCTGTTCTCAACTCATTCATCCCTCAAGTCTACATTGATACTGGAGATTGCCCAGATGCAGGACCCTGTTGATCTCCATGAGCTCCACAGTGGCCCATTCCTCAAGCCTGTCAAGGTCTCTCTGGATGGCACCCCTTCACTCCAGTGAATCAACGACACCACTCAGCTTGGTGTCATCTGCAGACCTGCTAAAGATGTGCCCAATCCCACTGTCTATGCCATTAAGAAAAATCTGGAAACAGTGAGGAAAGTGTCAAAAAGTTCACAGATGAAGAACCTCTTGACTTCCCAGGACTGAACAGAGCATGCTCTATCAAAGAGTCTATCACTTGAAAAAGATGCAGTTACCTGACCAATTGGTTGTAGATATACAGCTGGAATTTGGGGTGAAGGTTGGGAAAACAGACACTGAGAGAGGCCCAGTGGTGAGACGTAAAGACAGAGAAGAAGTAGTGAACAGGAGAGCAGTGTCTACAAAATAAGGAGGAAGAGTTTAAAACTAAGATAGCAAAAAAGGCAGAAAGAATGAGAAAAGGATAGCATCTAGCAAAGAACTTTAAAATTTATTGCATTTAACATTGTATAGTTATTACCCAACCTCTGAAGCAGAAAAACTATACACTGTTATGCAGAAGGTAATAGAAAACACACACACTTACAACACTTCATCTTCTGTTAATTAAAGGCAAGCTACTTAAACACTGCTAGATTTTTCTTTGAAAGTTTTATTTTGATGCAGACTTCCACATGCACTGGTTAACATATTTCAACCTGATCTTTTTGCAACTCCTGCTATTGTAAATGTCAATACAGTATATAATGAGCATTAAAATGGCATGCTAGTATTGCTACATGAACAACTTTGCTTGTCTGAAACTTTAAATGCATTTTCATTCACCTGGTGAAACCTCAGGAAAATTAATTCTCCAAAGGCAAGCACCGGTGAAAGGGGGAAAAAAAATTAAATTGCAAATTTTAAAACATGAGCAATTCCAGGAAAAGTCTGAGAAATACCTGTAATTTGACCTCTAGCTGCTATTTTGGTTTTTGGCAATAAAATGCAGACTTGGTCTCAGAATACTCATATATTGCCTCTTTCATTTGAAGTACTAACTGCAGAAAGATAATGCCTATTTGTTTAAAAAAAAAACAAAACAAACCAACAAAAACCTACCTAAGCTTACAGCTGTGCTTAAAATGGCATTTCCTAAACAATTACCATTTTAAGTTAATTCCTAATGAATTATCGTATTTATAGAAAAATGCCATGCTCCACATAGATCTATCAACTACAATGCAAGCTAAGAAGCATATTAAAGAAAAGCAAAAGAAAATGAGCATTTAATCAGTTTTTCTATAGCACAGATTATCATTAAAATTGCATATGCAAGGAAAGCAAGGGGAAGTGGTTAATTCTCTTTGACAGAGCATGCTCCTGTTCACATGCAGGCTATTAAAAATAACCGTTCTTTCACTCCCCTTTTATCAGAAGAGAAATATTAAAGCTGCCTCATAAGTAAGGAAGCCACAGGATTTCCACCTTGCTATGGACTACATACACCAAATCCAGCATAGTAGGCTCTCCTAATTCCTTATTCCAGTTCCTCTAGTACTTCACTGAACATTCAGCTTCTTTCCTTTTGACCTATCTCACTCACACCCTGATTAAGCTGCCCTTCAAACAGCAGCTTCCTATCATTACACCCCAAACCACACATCTTACCCTATTATGTCAATATTATTCTTACACATTTTACAAATAACGACACTTAAAAGACTCCAAGTCAGCACTGTTTTTCAATAAATAAGCACTGCTATTGCTATCAAAATATCTGCAAAAGGTGTGAAAAAACTATATAATTAGGACAATCAAGTACCCGAGAATCATTTATGCTTACACAAAACACTATTTCCTTTGAATATATAGAATCATAGAATAGTTAGGGTTGGAAAGGACCTTAAGATCATCTAGTTCCAACCCCCCTGCCATGAGCAGGGACACCACACACTAAACTATGTCGCCCAAGGCTCTGTCCAGTCTGGCCTTGAACACCTCCAGGGTTGGAGCATTCACAACTTCCTTGGGCAACCTATTTCCAGTGCCTCACCACCCTCACTGTGAAGAACTTCTCCCTTATATCTAACCTAAAGTTCCCCTGTTTAAGTTTAAAGCCATTACCCCTTGTCCTACCACTACAGTCCCTAATGAAGAGTCCCTCCCCAGCATCCTTGTAGGCCCCCTTCAGATATTGGAAGGCTGCTATGAGGTCTCCAAGCAGCCTTCTCTTTTCCAGGCTGAACAGCCCCAACTTTCTCAGCCTGTCTTCATACGGGAGGTGCTCCAGTCCTCTTATCATCCTCGTGGCCCTCCTCTGGACTTGCTCCAACAGCTCCATGTCCTTTTTATGTTGAGGACACCAGAACTGTACAAAATACTCCAAGTGAGGTCTCACAAGAGCAGAGTAGAGGGGCAGGACCACCTCCTTTGACCTGCTGGTCACGCTTCTTTTGATACAGCCCAGGATACGGTTGGCTTTCTGGGCTGCAAGTGCATGCTGCCTGCTCATGTCGAGTTTCTCATCAATCACTACCCCCAAGTCCTTCTCCGCAGGGCTGCTTTGAATCTCTTCTCTGCCCAGCCTGTAGCTGTGCCTGGGGGTTTGCCAACAACCAATATAATACAATATAATATAATATCTCAATGCAAGACAAAACCCATAAAACCAAAAATACATGACCACAGATCACACAATTTCCACTTATTCTGCATAAAAGCAATTACTTCAGCTCAAATCCTGCTATCTACCTTTTGAAAATTATTCTCCAGGTGAGCAATATTTTGGACTGATGATTCAATGATCTCTAAGGGCAGAACATAATTTGTATCTACTACTATCCCTTGCAATAGTAAGAACAATTATTTATTAATATGTAATTCTTTCTGCAATCATACTTGTTGCTTAGAAATTAAAGTACTTTGAAACATTAAGATTCCAAAACCAATAATGACAAAACCACTACCTAATAAAAAGTGGCAAAGGAAGTCTTAAATATAAAAGTGTATTTGTCATCTTCCATAGTGTTAATACTCTATCTCAAAAATGGTAAGATGTAACTTGGTTTTGTTACACCATTTGAAATTTTGTATGTTGAATCTCAGGTGGAAAAAAACTAAAATAAAGACCCTCTTTAAAAAAAAAACAACAACAAAAGATGACCCCCAGGGTCAGAAGAAAACCCTTGTTTTCTTGAAACCCTAGAAGTCAACATCGCCTATAGAGCACACCCTTCTCACGTCCTCACCTTAAGCCATTTACCAACATCAACACATATTTTGAGAAAGAGTTTGCTGCTATAATGATGGGGTTGGTTTTCACATGACTTGGAATGCCAAGAGTTTAGTTTTGGAAATATGACAATTCAGAATCTTGAAATCATTTGTCATTTTGGCTGTTAAGTTTACCAGAAGAGTTTGAATAAAATAGCAATGAATTCAGGCTAGAACATGAAGACTATGTATACCTAGAACATGTTTTTGGTTCTTCCTTCTTACACCAAACCCTCACTTAATACTACTGGTTTTTATCTTCATCATAGACAAATACATGCAAGACTGGGAAACGTGTTTCTCAAAAGATTACAAGCAAATAGGGTGCTAAGGAGTCACAGACAGCTTGCAAATGGCAGTGCTTGCTTCTTGATGTTTTTATCCAGCTGTGTTGAGTCTCAAGAGAAAAATTAAAAAAAAAAAAGAACCATTGCATAGATCTCCCTCATGGACTAAAATACAGTGACCTACCTTAGTTATAAGTTATTAAAAAAAAAAAAAAGTTTAAGCAAAGACTGTTTCTTGCAGAAATTGGCAGAGGTCAAACTTTTAATGGATTAGTCTCAAATATGAATTTAACGCTTCAAACTAATGAGCACATGCTGGAAAAGCATTTGGGATGTTTAGTGCAGACAAAGTAATTCCTACACAAGGTGCAAAAAAAAAAAAACCAAAACTGATTCAAAACAATTTAACAAGTGAAATCAACAGATTCAGCCTCAGTTTTCAGACCCAGGAACTGCACATATACTTCATTATTTCCTCTGAGGACTAACAACAACTTTTTTCCAACCTGTGGACCACACAGGACAAAAAGAAAGGTCTTATTAGTTGCCTGTCTTCTCAGTCACACACATACAATCTCCATTAATTAAGAAAATACTACAAAATGCATCCTAGCTCACTTTAATGCAATTAGAATTGAAATTCTGCAGCTGCATAGTAAGGTAGAAATCACAAGCCTGACAGGCTCAATGACTTTCTATGAGCCAGATCTCAAACTCGGTTACTAGTTTTTGCATAAGACTATTCCTATTTTTAACTTATGCTTCAATTCAAGATAAAATTGGTACTGTAATTCCAGAGTCTCACTTACTATATTTTTGCCCTTTAAAATAAAAGGGGAGATACAAAATACAGGCACTATTTTGACCATTTGACTTCAGAGGTCTCATTGCTAAAGGAACTCTTACATCATCAAGCTGGAGCCTCTCCAAGTTCCTTGTATGTACAAGTATCAAAATCTCCTAAATTGAAGTGCTTTTACCCACTCAAAAGAGTCATACAAAGAATATTAAAACCAATCTTGAACAATAAAAACTTGATACACTGTCTACCAGCTAACAATGTCCAAATCTCAGTACTCGTACAAGAATTGTAGCCTTTGTACATTATATTAAAAAATGAATATAGTTCTATTAATGCTTCCAATCAGCTATTTCTCAGGCAATTCAGATCAAAGCTGATGTGATATCAATAGTGCAGATACTGGCCAAACCAACTTATCCTACTAAAATAGTATAGGCTTGCATAAGAATTAAAAAAAAATTAGTTACTTTTCATCCATTCTGCTGCGCATTTTTTTAAGTTTCTGCATAATGCTACTAGTCTCACTGCTGGAGATTGAGATTGGGGAAGGGCTGCGTGTTTCTGCATCAGTTGGAAGTGGGCTAGAACCATTGCTCTGCTTGATGTCATCCTCACTGTGAAGTTCCTGCAATTAAGTGTAAAAAACCCAAAAAGGCAACATTAAAAGTAAGAAAAGCTATTCTACAATCATTTTAAACCTTGTGTTAATTTAGCTTCCTTCTCCTCAGAATACATCAAATACTACTTCACGTAAGTCTGCCCATCTGCAGATTTAACTTGACTTTACAACTTCATTTTTATTTGACGCAAAGCTTTTTAGTACATGCTTTTCCATCATAATTTAAGTTCTCCCTAACTGTATCTAGAAAAAAAAAACAACCAACAAACCACCCCAACATCAGAATTCACTTACCCAAACAGGAAACCAATCCTTTCTATACTACTATTATTCAACTTGTGTCTTCTCAAGATTTTGTAAAGAGGCAGACAATTATCAAAACCCTGTTTTGCTGCCTTACAAAGCAGATGCAATAAACTTAATGTAATGACACTAATGCTTACACAGAACAGGAAGTTTTGGGCTCAACACTTACATTTAGTACTTTGGGGTCTGACAAATAATCAAACAAAGTCAGAGCCCAAGAGATCTAAGCAACAAAAAGCTGACATTCCCAAAGTCACTGGTTAAGCTTGAGTGTTAAACACCATCTACTGTACAGTTAAAACAAAACATTAATTATTGCCTTAAAAAATGCTTTAAAGAAATTAAACATTGCTGAGATAAAGAGGATGAGACCATTTGAGGCAGACAAAACTTCCAAGTGATAGGTCCAATCCAGTAGCTTTCCATTCCTATAAACACTAAAGTCAAACACTAGATGCATGGACAAAAAGAAAACACTCCAGCTTTTGTACTGAACACTTACTAGTTTATTTTCTCCTGCAGACTTTAGTTTCTCCTGCAGTTTCATTGTAGTCTGACGGATTCGTTCTATTTCTGCCTGCTGTTTAAGGATCAGCTGTCTTTCCTTCCGAGCAGCCTTGTTAGCCTCCTGGAGACGCTTAATTTCTGCCTTTTAGGTATAAAAGATTAAGCATAAGAATTGTGACAGACAGCTCTCAAGAACACACTCTAAAGCAGCCACAGTGTCCTTGCTAGGGATTTAAAATTACTGCGATTACACGATGAAGCAACTAGCCTGAACTTCAACAGCAAAGAACAGAAGATCAATTAGTACTTCCAAGTTTCAACAAGTGAGATTACTGATACAGAAGGACCCTTTAAATCAACGCGTTAAATACTAATGAAATGCACACAGACTTGCTGGTAAGAAATACTGCTAGCTTCCTATCCAAAAGCCTGGTATGGAGGTTTCACAACTCTTAGCTTTTACAGTGTCTGAAACATTTAATGGCTACAGAGGAGCTCCAGCAGGGTTTTCCTAGAGGGCATCAGTTACCTTTTCCTGCTGTAATCTCAGCAGCAGACCACGCTGCCTTTTTCGAATAGGAGGCATCTTATCATCCTCTCCCTTGTCTCGCAAATGCCTGCAAACAGATTGGAAGAAAAGATTAAATAAGAAAAAAGTACATAACAATGAACCACAAGCCTTTTACACTTTAAAGTAATAAAAAAAATTTACTTTTCCTAACCTGCAGAAGAGTATATGCCTGTACTTAACCATTGGCATGCTCTATAGTGAAATAAGTTGTACTCTTTAGTCAGACACATACAGCTGAAAGGCCAGTGCAGGTAATACGAGATCTCACATGAATGGGCAGAAGCTCTCAAGAGGTAGTATTCTCACCATTTGAGAAAAGACAGTAAGAAGGACTGGGTAACTACCTCACAATCCTTTGTCAAACCCACATTAACAAGAAATTGGAAGAAAATGTCTGTTGAACAATGGTACTCTCATGCAGAGAGTGACCATAGGAAAGTATTATTGATTAAATCTGGCCACTACTGTTCTTCAGGTGGCTTTCCCAGCCAAAGCATATGCTAGGTTGAAACAAATTATTAAGTACTACTCATATCCAGATTTCCAAAATTTGGCTTGATCAACAAAAATGACCTCAGATAGACATCAAACAAACAAAGGTCTGTTTGACAGTTTTTTACCTTCCTGAATTAAGACTTGTCACGTAACAGTTGGGAACTACGTTCTCTGAGTGACAACAAACATCTGATGTTCTACTGTTTCCATGAAATTGTCTTTGATCAAACCATGCTCAATGCAGTGCATCGAAGCACACTTACAAACTGGGTTCTGTTCTTTCCAAGTGACAGTAACATTTGTATAGATGACTGATGTCAGAAGATCAGTTCAACCATTGATAGTTAAAAAGGGAGGGTTGGAAGCAAAATCTTACAAAAAAAAAAAAATATTTAGGTACAAGAAAATTGTCAGTCACCAACAGTGTATATTCAGAGCTGCCTTACTTCTTCTGGTGTTCCAGCCAAGCTAATTCAGCCTTGGTCTTCTCCTTCAGAGCCTTCTCTCGGAGCCGAAGCAGTGAGGACTGATGAGCTGCTCGCATTTCCTCTTCTTTCATGTACTGCCTTACCATCTCCATGGTAAATTTAGAGAAACTATCTTGTCCCCCTGAAAATGGCATGCTTAGCTCCTGGAAGGCAAGAAAAAATTGGCATGATTTAGAGAAATTCCAAGGCTTTTTTCAGTTACAAAGTGTGTGCGTCTATACAGACACACACAGAAAAAACAGATTTAAGAAGAGAGGCTGCTTTTATTCTGAGCTTTGTGCAGACTAGCATTTTCTGCCCTTGGCTGTGTGAAAGTTTTGGGACATCCCCTCTTGGGCCAGAGAGATGAAGCATCCTCTTATACTTCCTACCTGTGTGTAGGCATAGGAGAAAGATTTAATCCATTGAGCTTTTATAACCTGCCTCAAAATGTCACTCCTCTTACTCAAAGCCACAAGAGAACAGATAGAGGCCTGTTTCACAAATCATCACACTTGTACAACAGTGATATATTGCATGATTATTACAACTCTTAAGTTTTGAGGTGCTCAAAGAATCACAGGGAGGAAAAAAACCCTAAAGTTTGCAAAGACAGCTAAGAACAGCTCACCTGAACCTCATCAGCTTAACCATTTCAGTTCAGTTAATTTACCTTCACTATGATTGCTTGACCTACCTTGATAGATGACAGAGCTGTTTTTTCTGGGGAAACTTCTTCATCAGAATCATCACGATTACCCCGTTTCTTCTCCAAGTTATTTCTGCGATGACTCTCAGAGGGCAGCAAAGACCGAAAAGACTTTTCCTCAATCTCATCCTCTGTCATGGACTCATCAAATTTCATGGAATATTCTCTTGCAGCAGAAGCAGAATCTGAAGGAGAAATCGGAGAAGTGTATGTATGCTCAGGTATGTACCATGAATGCCATTTTACTCTGTCTAATCTCAATAAAGTCAAGGGGGCAGGAAAGACAGCGGGAGAACTAATGCAGAAAAAAATAGGTGTTCAGAAAATCATGAAACACCAGGTTGGAAAGGGCCTTAAGGATCATCTGGTCCAACCTTTCTTGGCAAAGCATGACCTAGACTAGATGGCCCAGCACTCTGTCCAGCCTGTCCAATGTTGGGGAATCCACCACTTCTCTTGGGAGACTATTCCAATGGCTGATTTTTCTCATTGTGAAAAACGTGAGTGACCTAACCTTGAATTATAGGACGTCATGAAATACCATTATCTAGCTTGACAAGACCTAACAGACTTCTGTAAACAGGTATAAATGTGTTTCTGGGCTGACAAAATATTTGGTGTTCAGCCTGCATATTCAGCAAGTGAACTTCCAGCCACAGCTAGCACAGCAGAAAGTAAAATGGCCCACATATTCCATCACTCTGATGTGCAGAATTTCAAAGGTTCCAATCTCACTATGCCATCCTCTCTTACCCCTTAAGAGACTACCAATTCACCCGGGGCTCACCCTTCTTCACATATATTCCCTTGTTTATTTCAGAAACTGATTCTGAAACAGCACCTCATACCCCCCCACCCCCTCCCCCAGATTCACAACATACGAACAACATGGCTAACCTTTTTCGTCTGGCAGTGATAAAATACTATCACTTGGCAAGGAATCATCCACACCAGTATGCGCCTGGTCTTCAATACTGCTAGTTATCTTTTCACGACGGGAAGGCTTTTTCTCATTCTCCTTAGAAGATGGAACTGAAGGACTCTCTTGGCGGCTGCTGGTACTACTGTGTTATCAAGAGAGAAGGGTTTTTTTTAAATTACATTGCACTTTTCGAAGTATTTATATTGTATTGCTACTGCACGTACCGTGATTAAACATCCCAGCAACAACCGACATGCAGAAGGTTTAGGATTTTTTTTAAAATGCAGCTTGGCTACTTCAGAATTCCAAGCCTCATCAAGCTGCTGACTGACAGCAGGACTTGCTATTTTTATTCTAACTTTGAATCCAAGTGCTTTTTAGGTATGCACACCCTCTACCTGGCACTGAGCGTGAATGACAAACCATTGCAAACATCTCTCCTTACAGTTTTTAAAAGGATGAGTGAGACTGCAATACTGTTTTTAAGTTAGAAGAACTATGGAAACCATAATCATTCCATTTGGTCAAGATCAGAGAAGGACTGTGAGAAACTTCATGGGACCTAACTAGATCAGGTAAGTGAAAAAGAAGCAAAAAGCTAGAAATCCACTGTTAAACACAGGTGAAATACTGAAAAGTAACACCAGAAATGAGTCAAATCTAAACCTCAGGCAAGCAACACTCCAGGCACTTATGTAAAATTTCAAGCCAGTGCAGAGCAGCAGTGATAAAAAACCCACAAAACCCAAAACCTAACAAAATGGCCAGATACACAGAGAACAGAAAAGAAGGTACTGCACATTACAGAGCAGAGAGTTCTACAGGTCCCTGCCCTGTGTTTCCGAACATATGCTCCAGTCTCCGTTCTACTCTATTCCAAAGCCACACAGAGCAAAATGAGAAGGGCACAAAATGCAAATATTTAGAACAGGGAAAAAGACTCAGATAAACAGAGACTTGAAGGGGCTTTTAGGTTACAAAGGTGACACAACAGAAGTATGGAAGTAGGTCACAGCACAAAAATGAAAATAATCTCAGCTCAACAATTTCTGAAGGTATTTCATCTAGCTAAAGTCAAGGCCAAGTCCAAGTTCTGAACACCTGCAAGAACAGAGGATCCCACAGTCTCCCTACACCCCCAAGTCCAGCGTTTGACCACTCTCACAGGAAGCATTTTTTTCCTCAGTGATTTTGCCCTTTCTGTAATGTCACCATTGCCTTTTGTCATCTCAATGTGCAACTCTAAGAAGGGTCTAACCTTATGTTACCTAACAACCCATGTTTAAGATACTGCAACTAGATTACCGCTCCCTCAGCCTTCTCTTTTCTAGCCCAGTTCCTTAATCCTGTCTTTTACTTCATGCACTCCAGCCTCCCCTAACCATCTTAGTGGTTCACCACTAGACTTGTGTCTGTATGAAAATATCTTCTCTTCACTGAGAAGCCCAGAACTGGACACTGTATTATTCCAGATAGTCTCACAAGAGTCAAACAGAGTGGAATAACCATTTTCCTTCACCTGCTTGCTAGACTTCTGCTAATTCAGCTGAATGAGAAAGTGGAACTCAATTATTCTTAAGTTACAAAAGAGAAAAGTATCCAGTTAGAACAAACACAGCAAATTCAAAACTGAAGACATTAACACACAATACACTGTTACACTGCGGGCTACAGCGTGTAGGATTTTTTTAATAAAAGACAAACCAAATTCTGGTAGGCATATAAACCTTCAAGCTCCAGAATATAAGACAGGTTTACCTGTTAAAGGCTTAATACTGACCACATCTCTTTAAAAAAAAAATATTTAAGGAAATATCTTTATATTCCTTTGCACTTTAGTTCTTATTTATAGCAGAAAAACTCCTGTGTAATCTAAACTCTTCTTACCTCTGATCATGAACCTTCGATCTTGAGGACTCTGAATAACTATCAAACATTGGAGAGTATGTCTGTTTTGAGTCACCTGTCCCCTCTTTACCTTGTGATATGGCACCAGACTCACATTTCCTAAGAAAGCAAAGTGTTTTGCATAAATCTATGTTATCTTAAACTAAAGAGGAATACAGTTTACTAGAAGTAGTAACAGCTAAAATTTCCGAAAAAAATCACTTAAAGCTTAGACTAGTTAAATCATCCCACAAAACATTTAGATCATCTTTTTCTACACTTTTTATATCAAGGTTCTCAGAACCAGTTAATGTCACCTTTGTCATACACTATTAGAGGGCATAAAGATGGAATCTAAATTCTTCTTAAGTGCTCACTCGTTACAACATCTTACAATTTTCCTCAAGAGTAGTCAAAGCAGAACCTAACAAATTTTATTTCCCCCTTCCCAAGATGTGAAACATGAGGCAAAACCTGTTTGTATCAGCTCGGGCTCTCAGTTGTTTCATGAACTCTGAATGATGCTGCCGCTGGTGGTCAAACAAGGTGGTGACTGGAGCAGCTGGAATGCTGACAGTGTCCGTTCGTGCTAACTCAGTCATCTGAGCACAATTAAAAAAAACCAAGGAATACAATAAGCTTATCAGCACCAAAATGTTTTTGAGAGAGAAAAGTCATTCTTACAGACAATCTTACTTATTTATTGAACAAATATGTATGATATGGGTTTAATATGGTTTGTAATTATACACGTGTCAATTTTGGATGTGGAAGGTACATACTGCTTTGTAAATACATATTCTTTAATATATGGAAAGTGGAATTATTAATATGAAGCTACAGATAAGCAAGATACTACTTACCATATCATTCTAATCATCCTAATCAAGTTCTGATCAGTAGAATGATCCCCACATAATAAAACATTCCAGACTTATCATTTGAATTGAAACAAAAATCAAAATAAACAAACCCTCCCCAAAACAAAAACACCCCCGTGCAAACCCCCCTGACAACCTACCACCACCACCCAAACATCAGAAACAATGTTTTCTTTTCCATTTGAAAGTGCATTTTCCTCAATAAGCAAGAAATATTCCTTCCACTCCAAAGGAAGCAACAGGTTTAAATTCCAATATCATGCCCACTGCCAAGTCTAAAACTAGCAGCATTAAATCAGATTGCTATAAATTATCCTTCTTAATGTATGGCAGTCACTGTGTTCTGGACTAGAAATAAGAACTTCTTCAGAAATCACAGTAGATAACACTAGTTTTTAGGAGCTTTAGAATTAAATATTTTTCTTATTGTTCAAAGGTCTGCCTCTTGCAGAGCAGGGAACTCTGGTTCATTTTGGAGGTAGGTATAAGTTGTATTCCAATAATTTTTAATACAGATACTGAGTTTCTTCCTTAATTCTTCAATTAATGTATATAAATTTTACAGAAACAGTGAATGTTTAATTAGATTGTCTGTATACATCACCCACTGTCTTATCCTTCATTAATACGACCGTCAACTCTAAGCAAACAGAACTGCATAGCAGCATGCTACATTCTTTTGCATAAGACAAACTTCTAATTGAAAGCAATGCAGAAAATTAACTTCATTCCTTTATACATAAGAAATCACAGCATACGTCCAGAAATATTCCCAGCATATTGATAACTGCCATTTCCACTGCTGCATTCCAGTTAAAATAAATGGTTATTCAACTGAGTATCTGAGTCACTTGTGAATATGCATGAAAAAGCTACTCTGTTAGCCCATCATCACTGTAGAGGTCATCCTCATCAACCTCTCCACTAGTACCTTTTACTCTCAGAGTTTGAATTTAAAGGAAAACAAGAGATTAAAACCCTACACCAAACAAAAGCTCTGTTCCTTCTGCCTTTTTTCTTAACTGGTTTCTACCCACTTCAGCTCTATAAGCTGTAAATGTTTCTTTGTCTTTATCTAAGACTTCAATACCTTCTATCAACACCACAGCATGTATCCGAGATGCCTGAGCTTTTCTGTTCCTTTAACCTAACCCATTCTTGTTTATTCAAGAACTATTTAAACTTCACGTATTTGGCAAAGGCCAGAACAAGTACCTTCTGTTATTCTACAGTTCCATTACACATCATAAAAACAGCCTTGCTGAGCACTAACATGTGCATAAGCTGTGAAGAGACACGTTATGTTCACATTCATCAGCCTTCTGCATTCCATCCCATGACCCTAATTTGCAGGCACTGCCACTGCTGAACTATGAAGAAGCAAAAGCATTTTATTGTTACTGTGTTTTTCACCTATGTGTGAAGCAGCTGCTACAATTTTGGAACAAGAGGTATAAAAACTGATAAACTCAAAAAAACCCTGAAAGCCAAAAAATACTCTGTATGCCACAGAAGAACAGAGGGTCAAAAAAACCCAAACAAACCACCAAACTTCAAACTCTGTACAAAGTTAAGAGTGCTGCTGTAGATCCTACCTTTTCTTCTCATTTCTATCTTCAAAAGTCAGCAAACTGAATTTTCCCCACTTTTCTGAGTTAATTTGCATATGAAACAGATATACGATAAATCCCTGATGGAGTGCAACTCTTACAACTTAAAGATATGTTCACTATCCTCAATCTATCCTGGAAGAACAAACTTCTTAAAGAGTTTGCTAACTGGAAGATCGTCAGAATAGCAAACAGGGATGTAAGGCTGCTGAATGACTCTTCAGTAATGATGCCAGAAAAGCTCCTTTTAGTCCTATCATTTGTCACATGAAGGTGAAGTTGCACTGAGAATGACACTGAACAGCAAATATCCTAGTGGCAAAAAAGTATTCAAAATAATACTGAGATTAGAACAGTTTTTTTCCCTGCACTCAGGATCTCACCTCACGGATCTGGTGAGCTGTATCTGCAGTGAGAAGCGCAGTTTCTGCCTGCTTGGCTGGAGCCTTGCATGGGGTCTCCTGTACAGCCTCCTGACATGCCTGGATGAGATGCTGTAGCGACTCTGCATGGACCTATGCAGAAAACACAGCCAGTTCGTCCTTTCAAAATTTTCTGGCTATAACAACTATACTTTCACTTCTTAAAATCTGGTGGAAAAAAGTTTGAAATGGGCTCCCGAGAGTTTTTTTTCAGCTATATTAGACCCCTTCAGACCTCTATATGTTCACAGCTTCAAGTTAATAATACTCATAGGTACAGATTTACTTACAGCATTTTGCCTCTTACACATTCCACATTTTTTGAAGGGCAGCATTACCTGAGCTGCCTTCTGCCTTGCCTCGTCCAGTTGTCTCTGACTTTCTAAAGCTTCTTGTTCAGCCTTGATTTTTAAAAGAGCTAGGTCCCGTTCATGGCGCTGCTGCTGTGCCTACGAGTTGGGAAAACAAGTTTTTAATCATGCAAGTTAAATGTAAACACCTTTTTTGTCTTAGTCTCTGGCTTCAACTACCTCTGAAAGATCTAGATCTTCTCTCCTGGTGGTGCCTCTTCTGCTAAAGTAAAATTTCCAGGCTACCAACTGTCCCTCCCCTTTTCAAGCAAGCAGTAGACAATGCACATTCCCTGTACTTTTCCACCACAGTGTAGAAAGAAAGAGGATTTAGGAGACCAATTAATTAAAAGAAAAAAAAGAACAAGCAATCTTGTCAACATAAGGAAATTTCAACCAGAAGTATCCTTTTCATGGAATAAGACAAACGATCCAGCCTGCATACACTGCATGGCATTGAGACCCGATGTCAAACTCTGCAAACCACCAAGTTTTTATTTTACTGAAGTACACAACCAAAGCAGTGATTCCAGCTAATGGTATATTAATGACACATGTTCGAGTGATCAGTTCCTTAGTGTCAGCTTATAGTAAGAAAAAGAACAGACATTAATCCTAAAAAATGGACATTGGCAGAGACACTCCATCACGACTACTACAATTTCTCTGCATTGCTAACAAAAGCATAACTCACCCTGATTTTATTAATTTTCTTGCAAAATAAAAGAAGAAAAAGTTAAGACAAGGAAGTATTTTTCCATTACCTTTAGAATCTGAGCCAAAGAAACACTCTCCTGCTGGGCAAGTGATATGCCTCGTACTCGTTCTACATCTGAAAGCTGTCGCACAGACTCCTCAATAGCACTAAGGTAGTTCAATTCTACTGATAAACGATGCTGAAGACCAGCAGGGGAGAAGCGCATACATCCTGCAGGATAAGACTTACTGGTAAACCTCCTTCGACATTGGTGGCCCACATCAGAATATACAGAAAAAAAAATGTAACTGCTTTGGGATTATTATGGTTTTAACAAAACAACTCACCACTTGCTGAGGCTGCTCCTGTTACAGACCTACTAGTTCCCAGGCTCAAGTCAGGGAAGACTGTGTTAGGCTTCAGCCCTGACGCAGTACTTCCAGTAAAGCCAGCAGGTGACTTGACTCTTTCTGCTGTACTGCCTATAGAATCAAACTGCAACATTTTTTGGGAACTGGGAGATGGGGAAGAAGTTGGTGTCTTCTGGGATCTTCCCTTGTCTGAGAAACTGATAGTGAAACAAAAAAAGAAAGGAATCAATATTCTCCTAAATCCAGCTATGTGATCAGACAATAAAGAAACAACCTAGTTCTCCCATTAACACACCCCAAAAAGATCCACATAAAAGGCAGTCTTTCATGGTTTGCACAAGCCCAGTGTGCCTTTAGGAAATGGCCTCATGAGATGTGTTTTGTACGTATATCCCAGTTTAAGTTTCTAGAGCACTTTACTTTTCCTCCAAGTATTAAACCTAGTTAGCACACACCAAAAGGGGGAAAAAAAAAAACCAAACAAAAACCAAAGCATAGTATCTAAGATGTTCTACATGGCCAGACAATCAGTTTCAATGCCTCCTATTAGAAACCTGCCATGACAAAGTCAGGATACACTCACCTCAATGTGCATTTATACATCTGTTTTGAGAGTCTGAGTGAAGAACTCTGGTTTACTCACAGAAAATTAGGGCCATATTTTGATAACAGAATAAAATGAACAGAATTTTTAGAAAGTGAACAGGTTACTATTGGCACATGGATGCAACTGAATGTGGTAAGTCACTGCCCTGGAGCCAACTCTTTCAACAAATGCAAAGAAACACTTGAAGGCCAAAACTTGACAAACAATTAGTAAACTACCACACTTAAACATACAGACATGATTTTTTTTAAACATACAGAAAATCATCCAGGCACATCTTAAATTTACTATTCCAGTTTCCTTTCAAACCCAATATTGGATATCAGTGAAAGTCACCAGTATAAGTCAGTACCTCAGAACCACTCTGTAGCCACACAAAATGAGAGACCACTCTTAGTATTTGTTGCTTTTTAGAAAAAAGTGCAGTGGAAACTAAGCAGAGTATTCCATAACCATCTTCATTGCACAATTAGCACAAAAACTGCATTCATAGCTAGACATACAGAGGATGCAACAGAAAACCAGTATTTTGTTTCCTTTTTTTCTATACTCATTTCCAAGGATCGGTTCACTTCTCAAAAAGCATCAACTCAGAGCTGGACAGGCTTATGAGTATTAGCTGAACACGTCTAGCCAAAAACGTCTCTGGATCCTACCGAAAAGAGCAAGATGAATGCACAGGTTGACTAGCTACTTCCCCCACTCCACGCTTCTTACAGAGCATTTGTAGAAGTGGAAAAAAAATATTGTATTTCTATGTTTAAGGTACTGAACCTGATAGGACAACTGTATTGGCCAGTTATCCACACAAAAACAGAGGGAATATCTGGGGAGGAATCTCTGTTTTGTATTTTCTTACTACAGCCATCTACTTTAGGCTTTGATATTTAAAATACATGGGGCAGGAGGGGGGCGGGAAAACAAACTACAAAATATTTTCTGCATTCCCATTTTACTAACATTTGATCATTTCTGCCACTTTCCCTTTGCATATCCAAAGACACTGTTATTTCTGATAATATGCAGTAACACCATAAGCTTAGCTGTATTTGGATAGTCTTACAATGTTCATGTTACCTCGTCAGTGAGTGTCCAGACAAGTTTTCCAGCGTGCTGTCTGTATCTGGGTTCTGTTCATGATCTTTACTAGAAATTCTGCTACTTGATAAGGATTTCTTTGCCTGCTGGGATCCCCTCTCTAATTCAGATAGCATTTTATCTTCTTCCACAGGAAAGTGGTGACAACTTCCATTGAAAGAGTCCAACCCTAAGAAGCAACATCATTGCCAAAAGTTTATGTTTGAAATTTTAAGTATGAATCTTTCACCATCAAGAGCCCCAAAACAGGTAATTGAGAACTTTTTTCCTCCCAACTAAAGATACCTTTGAGTTAGAAGTTTATAATTCCAACAAGCAAGAAATGTAAATTTGGCAACTTCCTACAGAAGATTAAGTACTCTTCTACATGTCATGTACACTGTCAAGAAAACTGTCACTCAGCTTTCACTTGAGCACATTATTGGTTTAAATAAAGAAACTATGCATTTGACCCTTTGATGCTGATAATGTGAATAAAGCCTAGCTTTCTCTGGGTAAACTAGAGAATTTCGAATAGAAATGCCCAAATCTATTTTTCTTGTTCTTTTATTGGCTTTAAACACAGCTTTTTCTTATGTTATTCATTGTTTATATAGCAAGCGTGTACCAAATCTCAAGTTTCTTCATATTTGTTTGTAATGAACAAGTTACCGTAGGAAAAAGTATATTTACTGATTTACGCTCAAATCAGTAAATTTGCCTGTGACCCAAAGATGAAGCATACAGGCAAACCTCTGTAAATGCAGCCATTAACTCTGATTTCTCAGCAGCCTATTGGAATTTCCTCAGTACAGAATCTGAGGACAGTTCCCACATGGTATTAAAATCAACTGATTTGTTAGAAGGCTGGTTTAGGAAAAGTTTTCAATGCTGTTTACCAACTCCTACCTATTTAATTTTAGATGACTGTATTTTAAGGTCGGAGAATAATCAAGAGTCAAAAATAACTTAGGAAGGAATAAATAAATAATCCTATCAGGATTAGATTACAGTTTCCAGATATACAGAAAGACTGCAAAGTTTGTAACAAAAAAACCCTGAAGCCTTCTTCAAAAACCCTGCAGTTGAGTATTGCACTTACGTTCCTTTTTCCCTCTCTTTTTAGATGAAGCAGATGAGCGAGAAGATGCCACAGACCGTGGTCCAGAAGAATGCTGAGAAGCAGGCTCTACAAATCGAGGTTCATGGGGAGACTTCCTACTCGCAACTTCTTCCTGAATGCTTGAATTACTGCTGCCAGCAACACTAAAAAGGAGCACACTGACAGTGATTAACTACGGATTTCCAATTCCCACATTGCACTGTGCACAAGAAATCCACCACACTTTAATTAGAGACAGATGGCTAAAACTACACTAATTAGTCCAACTTGAAAAGCATTGATTTTAAGACTAAAAACTATTACAGCTGAGACACTAGTAAAGTTCAACATGATACTATACTTCCAATAATATGAAACAGTAAAAGACAGGTAACAACCATCCTCCCTGATGCTAAAACTCTTCAGAACTATTTGACTATAGATTTGAACAATTTAAGAATGACTCCAAATAAGATTGCATTTTAAATAATCTCTGGGCATACAAGTATCATCAATTGACAGAAACATGAGTTATTTTCAATAAAGGATTAGAAAGGATTTGCAAAAAAAGAGAGTAATGTATTATATACTAAATAATACCAAAAGAAGACCTATTAAGGAGTTTAATCAGAAAGAAACCATTTTTGCAGCCGTTATCAGGGTGCAAAACACCTTTTACCTTCCTTTCTTCTGAGGTAGAGTATTATCAGTATAAAAACAGTATCTGTGGCCTTCTCTGAGGTGCCCAAAAGATGTAAATATCTCTCATTACAAAAGAAGAGGTCTTAGGAAATTCAGGAAACCACATGAAGCCAGTAGTAACATGGAAAATCTAGGATTTGCAGTCTTCAAATTTTAGTCTGAACAGAAGGTTTTAAAAGTTCTTACAGACAATTTACATGTCCATTACTAGACACTACCAAACCCTTACAGAAAGCAATTATAGGCTTTAAAAAAAATTTTGAAGTATTGAAGGTATTTTAACATTTTTGAATATTTTTTTTCTTTTTTTCCAAACTACACAGACTAACCAATTGAGCTTCATAGCAGCCACAAAATTTGGAGAACTAATATTCACCTGACCACAAAGTGCAAAAACCTTGCCTGAAGCTACCTGGCCAGATTAAAGAAGAACAAATGTTAGACAGAGAAAAGGAATATTTGACTCTAATTTTTATGTCTTAACCATGCTGGTTGTTGTATTAACTGCAAAGGTCCTAAAGTAGTACCTCATCACTTTGACTAGTATTAGAATACAGCATAACAGAAAAGCTATCCAGCATAATGTGAAACAAATTTTGCATTAGCTATTCTCTGTTGAATTCTGCATTTTGATTTTTACAAGAAGCCTAAAACACAGCTACCTGAGGTCATGTGCAATCTTTTTGTCTGTTAAAGTGCCACTTCCCTGCGATGAGACAAAATCATCTTCATAAGAAACCACACTCTCTGGAGGGCTCATGGCAGGGAGCAAAGGACGCAGAAGGGCAGACCCTCCATTCAACCTTTCATCAAACACTAAAGTGTGGACAAAGAAAGGAAAAAACAAAAATGACACAAAATGAAAATGTGCATCAAGCAGATAATAAAGCTGCAGGAATTATAATGCTCACAACCATGAACTGCAAAGGCTTCCTTTCAAACACAAAAACATCAGGAGAAAAACAGTGCAGCTGTCCCATGCCAGTTGTAATGAAACATAACAAACACAGTCCCCTCTTTGTAAACTATGAATTAAATACTCCATTAACACACTCCAGCTAAAACATTCTTGAAGAGCACAGTGCTTGAGTAGAGCTACATGCAGAAAATTTAAATGCAATCATATTCAAAGGAAATAAAATGAAAGAAAAAATAATCAAGGAAAAAAACCCCAACCCCAGATAAAAAGCAACTTCTTAGAAAACAGTCCTCAAAATTAAGAACTCAAGGCAAGAGAAAGAGTACTCATAAAATGAAGAACAAATTTGTACAAAAAATAAAAATCACATTAAGTGTCCTGCATGAGACACTTGTAAAGCATGCCCTAAGACACTAACACTTGAAAGGGCTCATTTAAAACTAAATACTAAAACCTTGTTTTCTCAAAATCCAATATTGTTACCAAAGTTTTAATTATTGTGCTACTTTGAGACATCAAATAACTCATATGAGGAAAGATGCAAAAGGAAAGAACACATCATTCATCCATGTGTTTCTAACAACATAGTAAAGCTATGTTCTTGCATAACAAGTTTATGGCACTTATGTTTAAGCCATAAAGTAAGTGCTGAATACAGCATGCATTTCATCTTTCTGTTTAACTGAAACAGGAATGGCATCTTATTACAGATGATCTGGAGTGCATACATAGTAGGAGGATGCAAATTCCAGTCCAGGGGGTCTGTTCTCAATAGTGGAGAGACCATTTCCAAATGCATTCTGGGCAATTTAGATTTAGTATGCGATTCTGGATACAATAAACTTCACATTCATAATTCTGTATCTGTGGGCATCCTTAATAAATGTAACCAAGTATATATGAATTAGTTACTGATCTAGAAACACAGAGCAATCTAATACAAAAATAATATTCTTCCAGCCCAAAAGCGTGGGTTTTTTTCTTTTTTTCCCATAGACAAGGCAGCAAAAGGCAGCAAAAGGCAGCAAGGGAAGTAATTTATCATCCAATAGTAAAGCGAGAAAGCCTTACACAGATTCATGTTTGAGACATCTAAAAGCACATTCCTTACTTGTGAAGTATAAAGTGTATGCAGCAGTAAAACTAGAAAAACAGTAACTTACAAGAGCTTTGAGATTTTTTTCCATTTTTACCTTTTCCATGAAGTTGATAACTTTTTGCAAAGATGTTGATGACACTGTGAGGACTTCCCTTCGCCAGTTCCTCCCATGGCCCCTTGCTGTGTGCACCACTTGTCTGAGTGAAAAGTGGCAAGTACTTCTCTGCTGCTTTCTGAAACTCCTTTATGGGCTCAAAAGCATTTCTCTCCCGAATGCAGAAATCCGTCTCCTTTAAGGTCTCCAGCATCTTCAGTGGCAACTGTTTGTGCTGCCCTACTTCTTCTTCAGAGAGACTTCCATCACTTGGGAGAGGCCCTTCACTGATGGACTCGATGCTGGACTCAGGAGGAATTACAGCTTTGTTCAGAGTGTAAGCCTGGTTTTCACGCCCTGGGGAGTCTGTCTGTCTCTTAGATACATGTCCCGGTATCCCCTCATGCCTGTTAGCAGTAGGGGACCTCATTCCAAGGCTGACTACATCAGCATGAGGCCTGATTGAGTCAGGGAGCTTTTTAAATTCACTAAGGTTGCCTACACCAGGAAGGCTGTCATCAAAGGCTGTATGAGACATACAGGTACCCAACATTTTTTGAATTCTGGCTGAAAAAGCATCTTCATTTTCCTCTCTCACAGGAGGACTCACAGCCTTTGCCCACCGCCCATCATCCTGTTTTTCTTGCATGAATTCATGGTCTGAGTTCCACATAGTACCATAACTGATGGCAGCCCCAGCCAACTTTTTGGCTTCACTTTCAATCCTGCTAGAAAGCGAAGCAGCTGTAGCTTTCAAAGCTTCAATACGATCTAATTTGCTCTTATACTGGTTAGCAGTAGGCTTCACTAGGAGGTTTTGCTGTGCAGCAGGTGAATTCAGATAGGGATGAGGCATCAACGTGCATCCCATGGGTGCAGCACGGCTCCTCCTGCCTGACAGCACTGCATCACACTCCTTTGACAAAAGATCCATCTGCTCCAGACTCCAGTGTTGCGAGCAAGGGCCTCCACTTGAGCCCATAAGCATTGATGGGTGAGAGAGCTGGATTCTTGGGCTCAACCTGTCTGGCTGTACCCACGGAGGCTCCATCAAATCGCTCCTGAAATGAAATGCCAACATTTAAGTACTGTAGTACCTAAAAAGAGAGAAAAATAGAGAAATGGCCCACAGTGGCTCACCTCAGCAGCGGCTGCTGCGGTTCCGAAAGCGACATGTCACTACTTGAAGATGCACTGGGAGGACGCTCTTGAGCCTTGTTTTCTTTGTCAGATTCCCCAGATGGCTGATAACCAGGTCTGGGCTAGAAATGAAGACAACCAGTAAAATGCATTTTCAAAATCTGCAAGAGTTTAGAAGCTCTTGTCTCATTAAAATAGAAAAGGCTTACATTTCTCAGTGTAGTATCACATCTTTCCTACCACACAAAGACTTAAAAACACAAGACATTTACGGTTTTGTCGCAGCAGGAAAAAAGCAAAAAGCTTTGCTTACATACTGATCTAGTTCAGCCAAACACATCGAATTGATATTAGTCTTTTACCATATATTAATCTTCTTTTGTGTTCAGTTTCTGATTAGAAAATTTAACTCACTGCTGAAGCTTGTCCACTGACTGAAAGCAACTTCAGAGCTCTTCAATTCAGGGTTGGACTTAAGTTTTCTTAAGAGCCAACCTTCGTAGCTGCTTTTAATATTATCCAGAGTTCTGCTTCTATTTGTAATAGAAAGACGATTTCCAATCACCTTTCTTACAGGCCTTGCTGTGACAAAAAGCAGCCACTAGCAAGGAGGCTCCAGATCAAAACCACTATGTTTAAACAAAAGCTACAGTTTTCTCTGTATCCTTGTTCTTAACTGACAAGCAGACCAAGCCATGACCTTCCTAAACATATGACCTCCTATTCCTGCAAACAACTGCAACACAAGTTAGTGAATCAGCTATTACCTGTGTTTCCTGCACTGCAGGCAGCTGAGGTGGCTCTTCTAAAATCGTACGTTCCAGCAATAGTTTAGAATAGGTTTCCTGTAACCGTTTGGCTGCTGAAGGCTCGGGAGGAGGCACATTCTTCACTTTAGTAAAAGCCTCCTTCTGCTTTCTGTAAAGCTCTTGGAGCCTTTTGTTCTTCTGTTCCGTTGCCTCCTTCTGCGCTTTCTTCTCTTCATTCTGCTTTTTTTTCCTCTCCTCTTGCTGCCTGATGATGTACTGACGAACCTCATCTGTATCATAGTGACGTTTCTTAGAGATCACCTGAGGCTCCTCGCTGGCAGCTATCTTGTCCGGTTTCCTTTTGGTTGGACTGTGACTCCTGGCATTTTGAGTAGGTAAAAGAGATTTCTGATTCTGCTTTTCCACATCTTTCTCTTGCTTGGTACTCATGGAATCCAGCTGCAAGTCATCGAGAATTCCACGTATCTCTATGGGCAGGAAGTCCTTATTTACAGAGGCATGATCTTCTTGGTTATCATCTGGAACAGCAGCATCCAGTTTCTTCAGATTGTTCTCGGAACGTACTTTACTTCTGGATCTATCAGAACTTCTTGAAGAGGTTTTATGGGTAACATCCAGTCTAGAATCTGAACCTGTCCTTCCAATACAGCCTGCTAAAGAATAAGACTAGTCACGTATTTCAGGTAAAAATCGAATTTAGGAAATTACATGTGATCACTGCAACAGCTATAACAGTGAGGATGAGGGAGGAGTGCCGATCTCACTGTAAATGTGCTTTTGCTTCATTCAGTGCCATAACCTGAATACAGCAGCCTTTGCTAGGACTGAGCTCACATCCTTTATAGTCTTACCAGCCTCACCACCTCACAGGTGGTGAATAAGAAGCACAGCAGCTACCACCATCCCTTACTTGCCCTATCTGAGATTCTGGATAAATCCCGAAAAATTAAGATTTATGATGCACATAGATGATGTTATACAGTATCTGGAAGAACCCCAATTCCTGTAAAACAGGGATGCCCAGCTCTAGCTTACATATTATATACAGCACATCTGGAAAATTCATCAGGCCTGTGGATTGTTGCTAGCCATTCCTTTCCCCACTAGCTTCAAGAGGCAAAGGCAGACTGCAAGAGATCCATTTTTTTGGTTGCAAACCATCTCTCATCTTTTCCTGAGCACCTTTGCAGCACATACTGCATCTCAAGTCACATTCACAGGGCAGGCTTCTCATGACACCAAGCAAAGTTCATAATCCATCCAGAAAGAGAGGTTATGCATCTCAACCATGGACATGAGCAAAATCCCTCCCCCAAATCCCAGGTTAAAAATAGGAGTTATTCAATTAAGAAACTGATTTCATTCTGTCTCAGAAGTCTGTTTTATTCTGCAGACATGCAGTGTTATATTACAAAGTAAAAAAAAATAATTAAAAAAAATCAGTGATAAAAGCACAACTTACCAGACTTGGCAGCTCTCTCTCGTCCTGTTCTGTCACTAGATACAGCTCTTCTGTCCTGTTCTATTCTGGGAGCTGGACCCAGGATCTTTTTTACTAGCTTTTGTCCCTCCCGCCAGGAGGATGCACTTATTACATAGTTTCCACCTGCACAGTAAGTAATAAATAAAAGTCAGGCATCAGATGGATTTTCCAACATATCAAACAAAATTTATTGCAACCACTTATCATTTCTATACCATTTAGTTCTGTATAAGTGGTATGGCTGCAGTTACACAAAACAGTCGTAACATTAATGTACCACAAAGACACTCAACAGCTCACACAACTACCAGTGCTTCTTGTCTATGCATAACAATGTAAAAATCCATAACCCACTGTAGCACATTCATGCCCTACAAAATTTGATTTAAAAAGGGTTACATGGGTCTAAAACATATAAGCAAATGTTACTGGGGAGAGAGGAAATATCTGTGGAGGTCTGAAAAGTAGCTGTTCATCTTCACTCAAATGAGGAAAATAACAAGAAATAAAAGGAACAGAAAAAGAACAAAAATAAAGGTGGGAGATAAAGAACAATTCACCTTCATATTAAAAGAACATTAGCTGTTATTATAAGGGGAAAAAAAAACTTCAGAAAATTTTAGATAACTGTTGCAGTATGTGTCTTGGGAGAAGTTAAAAAAAAAATAAAAATAGCACGCAGCAGTTGTTCTAAGCCAATGCTAATGGTCTGCCCCCTAGCTGGGATTTCTGTACCGTGACTGAAAATATTTAGGATAAATGCTGTTAGTTGATACTGAATTCAAGAGCAGAGTACATTGCAAGTGACAGAAGCCCAATCAAAATGTTATTAGTATTATTTTATCATTCTACACATAATTAAATGATAAAAAATTGGGTATGATGGCTTCTTTACCTAATATTGGTTAGATTAAATGCTAGTACACAGCTCACCTTTCATCCCACTAACTTCCAATATTATTGTTTTGGTTTTTTTTTTAATAATGACCTTAAAGAGCTCTGGAGAAAAGCATAATATAAAAAACCCCAAAAAACTATTAATAACCCACTTCAGACAATTTAGCAGTATTTTATTGCTAGAAAAGTACCTAACTTCAGTACACAATTTGCAGTTGCTTTTTAACCATTCTGTTTCAGGTTCTACCTCTGACAGCACTACCTAAACAAACCCAGACACTGCAGCATGAAAACAACACAGTCAAAGTAAAAGGGATTGTTGTCTGGGCCCAACAGGATTTGAAGATATGGTACCAAAGCAACTTCAGGTGAAATCCAGGACAGCAGAAGAAGTGTTTCAGTAATCCCAGTCCTCAATTCCCACCCACACCCCCTTTCTTTTCCTTTTGTTATTTCAAACCAGAAAGAGGAAACTTGCTCAGTCAGAAGCCTATAGCCCATTATTCTTTCATTTACTAACAGTGCTCTTTGCTTGCATTGTAAATTACCCAAGTATTTTATAAATCTGTCACTTGAAACATGTCACTACAAGCCTCTTTGAAACAGATGTATCAGCCAAAGGGGTTCTCTTGCAGAACTCACTGTTCTTGATTACTTCTGTGTGCTTTTAAAAAGGCAATGTAAAGTCTCATCTTCCATTTCAAGTCAGCTGTTTGCACTAAAACATGCTAACAGGGCAGAACATGAGCTCTAGCTATTTATAGCATTGGCTATGTTAAGCATTTTCTTATTGCTACGACTGGAGGAGGACAGACCATCATGGATATGCCACTTAGTTCTGCTTGTTATCTTCTAGGGATTTCAGGACATCATTCTCCTCACATTTAATCCATTATGGAGAATAATCATTGCCATTAAAGCCTGCAGCAATCTTTGTGCTCCTCCATCACTTGGAACTGTCACAAATACGTAAGTTAATTTAGTATTGTTCCTTAAGTACAAACTGATCAGCATAGGAAGGAGCAAATCCATATTATCACTTAAAGTATTAGTATTCATTATCACAAAATATTCACATGCAGCTTCATGATTTACAGCTTGCAGAAGCGCATTCACTCAAAAAAACCCTTTGTAATAATTTTTAAAGCATTTTTTTTTCTTTAACAAAGTGTTTACCAATTATGGGTCACTGTATGTAAGGAGAAATATAAAACCTTTAGAGGTGCAAGAGATACCTAATCTCACATGTATTTAAAGAAAAAAAAATTGCTCTGTAGTGGGATTGCAGTCATAACTACTTACTTTGTATGAAAAACAAAACCAAACGCAAAGCAGATGTTGGAAGTCTTCCTAATTCTTTTGCTACACACAATCAAAGATTAACATTACTGGAAAACAAAGAAGCACTGACAGAATTCTACATACAGTTAACTCAATTTTCTACTGTAGAGGAGTGCCTTATAGTAATCTCACATCATCTTCTCCTAATACTTTAATTTTACTTGATACACAGTGGAAATGTCAGACAACAGTGTGGGGTGGAAATCTTAACTGGATAAAGAAATAAACATTCCTTTATAAATATAAAAATTTGTAAGTCTTATCAAGGAACAGATTTTTACAAGTTTCACTAACTCAAAAATCCAGTAATGGCTCAAGCCAGAACTGAAGGTGCAGAACAGCAAAATTTGACAAACGACATAGAAAAGCAACAGCCAGAGAAAAGCCAGAGGGACATCTGTTCTCTGCTTCTCCACCGAGCAATCATGCAAGCGAACACCTTTCGCTGCAATCCCTCTTTACAGATGAGGGCAACTTGGCAAGTCCCACTGGCACCGACTTCAATATAATCTCCATTCCTCTCCTCAGTGTTACTCACTGAGTTGTAGGTCAGACACTAATCAGCTTCGACACAAGCAAAACAGAAGAAGGATCCGAACAGAGCTATTGCTACTTTTTGTCTGTGTTGGCCTGACTGATACCTAAGGATACCCATTCCCCCACCCCACCCCAAGAAATACACACTCTTCAGCAGTTTCCATAAAGTGTGCACAGTGAGTGGAAAGGCAGAAAATTAAAACAAATCAAACAACCAACCAACCGACAACAAAAACACACACATCCCCAATGCAGCATATAGTCTACAAACACACAACAGCAGCACTGTCACATATCTGAGAAGACTTTGGAAACAATATGCTTTAATTTCTCTTTATTTCTTGAGATAAAACTCATCTCTGAAGGACACGTGACAGCCTTCCCTCTACAGTAGAGCTAGTCACCTTGTTTGGACTCTGGACTTGACAACTGCGTCAGTTTTTGTACTTTCCGCACTGGTCTGGTTGCTTTTTTCTCTTTGTTTTTCTCACTAGGTTTTCCTTTCACTGTTGAATGCTCTAAAAACAAACAGAAGCTGTTAAGTGATATCCCGCAGAAAAGAACATAGAATAACAAGCTTGCTTCAACATTTACCTTGAAAAAATAGAACTTGGAGAAACACAATAAAACTCACTGACTCTCCCAGATTATATATTGAGATCAACTACTCCCAGTCCAGCATTTTAAAATCCCTGTAGCATGAAAATTGTCCATCAAGTGCTGTTTACCTACCCACTGGAATGCAGCAAACCCACAGCAATGCCATAATACATCTTTACAAAGTTCATTTTAAAATTTAAAAGAAATGTTGACAGTTTGACAGGAACAATTGCTCGTTCTCTCCTACTACACATTTTATATTTTTCAGAATTAATGTTCCACAAGAATACATAGTTCCTTCACTTCTGAAACACACAGGCTGCTGCTTCCACATTAACGCACAACGGGACATTCACTCATTGCCGCCATGCTGGAGCATGGAAGACAGGATACCCGTGTGCTCTGCTTTCTGCAAGACTTGTCACAGAATTCACCCAGTGATGCAGAACTATTCTGTATCACTTGAGCCCTCATTTACAACAGTTAGGTTTTAGCCTTTAGAGATGCCAGGAACACTTACCAAAGATATAGTCATGTTTTACCATGTCCTTACATTAAGGCACAGAAAAAAAGGAAACCAGAAATGTGCCTCAACCACCACCCCACTGAGTGGGTTTCCCAGCTCCCTAAGGTACAAAGCAGAGGCAAGCATTGCTCAAGGAGAGGCAAGCTGTATATCTGGTCTCAGCAATCTACACTGGACATGGTCAAAGATTTCCTAAAGCACTTTAGTTTGCGTGCCTTGAAGATGCTCTTAATCCCAAAGTGATCTGTAGATAAGGAACTCCACGGCCATTAGAATCACTGTTTTCCTATTCCCCTTAAGTAAAAGATCGTGATCAGACAACCTAAAATGACCTCTCCATGGATAGACAGGAAGCTTTATTTAGATGCTAACACTGACTTTTACAGTCCCTAATTTCAGCTGAATCCACTCTCTAATGGATGCCCATAGGAAGTGAAGAGAGAGAACAACAGTCATATTAAAGGATATAGGAAAGGAATTTTAAGAGTCTTTCTCCCTTTTAATATCCTTCCCTTACAAATTTTCCAGTTGTCTTTGAGGCTGACAAGTGCAGGGAAGACATAACCAATTCATCAAGTACCAGAGGCCTCAGAGACTGCATTTACAGAAGTCTAGCTTGCCTTCTCACCTCTTCTAGTGACAAACAGTTCCTTCCTGATACCAGGAAACTGAAGGCTGCCTCCTACTCACTCTATTCACACTACAGCAGTTTCGTTCTAGTACTGCAAGCCCTGAACATATTTCAAGACAGAATTACTGGAAGCTTGGGGTCCATACAATATCCTTTAGCCTAACTGCTAAACAAAAGAAAAAGATGTTCTGTATGGTCTACACTTACATGTAAAAATCTTGTTACAGTGAAGAACAATGCCTCTAAAGATATTAGAAATCTTATATAGTTTATTTTAGCACCACAGAACAGTTTTGATACAACTGACTGTACACTCCCAAAACCCTAGGTTGTATTTTAAAGGCTGTACCTTTAATACAGAATTAACTCATGGATAGATAATGCGACAACCTAAAAATCATTTAGAGAATACATTATGTGCAGCACCAGCATTTGATTATTTGGAATCAGTTATTCAATATTATCTTTTCAGGTCAGAAAGCAGACATGTTCCACAACAGTTGTTCTTTGCTTGGCATCAAGACAGGAGCACGGGTGAACACACACACTGCTCCTTCCTTCAGTAGGCAGAAGCCCACTGAACACATGATCCAAATGTCTTTTTTTAATAGGACCTCTTCAACAAAACATCTAAAAACTCTGGATTTGTACGAAGAGCTCATTAATTATTTTACATTTTGCTTGTCAAAACTACAAAACCCAAAAAAATTAAATGCTAGCATAGATTAAAAGTCTTTGGAAATTTTCACATGCTTCATTACTTTCATAGGCTGATGCTGAATAGAGTATTTGAAAAACAACTTTACTGAAAAGAAGTGGCTCTTCTTTCTGAATAAGAGTTTTTTTATGAGTGATTCCAGAAAAATTCCTCAGTACTTGTCAAGCTGCACTGAAATCTAATAATTTTTATACCAGCCACTATACTATCAGCATACGAAGATGCCTACAAGTTTACAATCTCATCACATACTCCTCTGGTTTTCAATGTATTGACCAATAAGAAAGTTTATTTTTAATATGCAAATTTTTAAGCTGCAAAACTAGAGCCTCTTGAAGGATTTTGTATTCCATTCCTTTCCTTTTCATTCACCTGATTTCCTCGCTCTCCCCCAAGTCAGTCTGTCAAAAGCAATTCAACCTTACAGCACTCCACTGTAATCAGCCTAGCAAATCAAAACGCACACTTGGGCATCCTACCCTTGATCACCCAGAGAAATGAGCTGCCAATGGTACTACAGTTTTTCAAAATGAAAAATTAATAAAGACTGGGTCTTGGAGCAGTACATTTGAGAACATAAAGCATGTGTTACTGTTTTGGTCTTTTAGCAGTGTAACTGTTAAGCAGATACATCTTTTTTATCCTCTTTGCTCACAGTTTTAGGTATCAGAATACTTTGTTGCTAAATGAACGCATCACCTAGAAAAAGATCTTTTCTCCTGTGTTGCTATTTTGCAACAATGACATTTAATGTTTTCCAAAAGACCATTAACCAAAGAGGAATGAGTAACAGTTTTCTAAGCTTTTAGCATTCAACCTTCCTTCCTACGCCTCCGTGTGGAATAAATACCAAAGTTAAGACATTCTGTTCTTTTTTCAATGCAAAGTTATAGAGTCTCCCCTCCCATATCCTATCCAAGCCTTATAATACTGAAGGTGAAAGTTGTAGAGGAAATAAAATAAAGATTTATAAGATTTCTTAAATCTTCTTCTGATCTACCTGTTCTCCCCCTCCTCAAGGAATCCAGGGAAGAGTCCTCTAAAAAAGTGCATGTGTGCAAATCTCTAGGACACAAATTTCTCCAACAACTTCAAAACTTGTTATAACACAGTTCTACAAGTTCAGTGATATTAAATCAAGTTAATGCCATATAATCTCACCACCACCCTTACTGCATGCTACCTAATCTATTTTAAATGAGTATTCCTAAAGACTTTTCACAGCAGACAACTCCCATCTCCCCTTTAGCTACCTGTATGTTCCAACTAAACTACTAACAATTTCCACAGCAGCTTCGGAACCCACAATTTGTTAACAACATATTGAAGACTACAGAATGCAGGCTCCAACATAACAGTGTTAAAAATGCCCAAAAAAACCCTAACTGTTCCCATGAGATAATACAGGTTTCATCAAAACAAAAAGCGAATTGGCTTTGTGCTTTTCAACAGGAAATTGCATTCATTCATGCAGACACATATAAAAATTAAATAAAAATTGTTCTAACAAAGAGTTGTTTATGGGTTGGGTTTTTTGTCTGTTTCAAAGAAAAGCCATCTTTTGACTCTTTTCAGTATTGGTTTCCTATTAAAAGTATTTTAATGAGAGAATGGGAAGATGGATTTTTTTATTCATTCAAGCGTTCAGTGAGTTATTCCTCCCGTGTAAAGAATAAAATATATTTAACAGTCACTGCTTCGATTTTTTGTTTCCAGAACTTTGTAGACTTGTTCAAAATATACTTCTCTGCCTCTTAAGAACAGGTTGTGTGGTTTAATCAAGTCAGTTTGTCTCACCTGTTAACTGTAGTGCTATATCTCTATACAACTCCTGACTAATGTGAAATTCTTCCTCATGCCAGATCTTCCCATCTGGAGTGCGAATTTTTGTTTCAAAAAAACTGAAAGTAAACAATTTAAGAGTTTAAAATAACTGCAAAAAAATGTAAATAAAGCTTTTTCAGGGTGGAAGGGGTGGGAAGCTGCCAAGTAAGAAAGGAAGTACTTGAATTTCTAATCCCAAATTAGAAGACAGCAATATACCAGTTTGTCAGTTGCTCACAGTTGAAAAACAGTAAACTGGGTGAAAAAAAGATTATTAAAAATGTGAAAGGCTTTCTCAATCAATAAGCTCTGGGACCATAAAAAACATACTGAAATAAAATGAAATGCTAATAGGGTGTGCTTTTTTTATATAGTAATTTGTAATGAGACAGGAAGAATTTCAAAAGAATCCACACTTCTTTAAATAGGCAATAATTTTTTTTCTTTCTTGTCCGTATCTTTGATCAAACCATGCTATTCCACTCCTGTACTACCAAACACAGTTATGAGCCACATCCATGCTTTGACATGTTGCTCAATGAACTGAACTCCGCTCCTTCACCATGTATAATCAAGAGGGAGGGATTCTGCACGTCCATACCTTTGTATGATGGAGCAGCAGGTGCAGTTGCCACTTTCCTGACTTTGGGAGTTACTGCATTCCCCGTGTTCGTGATCACGACAGGTTGCTCAACATAGCCTGAGTGTTGCCATCTGCTACCCAACTCTTCAGAATGCTCCCACTGCTTCCGAATCCGCTCCTTCAGCTTCTCCAACTTAGCATCATGCTGTCGCTGTTTCAAAATCTCCAGCCTATGAACATTAGAAGTACTGGTGGCAGAAGAGGAAGACACTTTCAGTTCACTGTCCTGGGATGTGTTACTCTCAGGAGTTTTAGTGGTACTCTCATCTCCTCCAGAGCCACTATTTTTTTCCTCATCCAGTCTTGGAGGTGTTGCAACCTTAAGAAATGCCTCATTATTCTGCAAGGCATCAATTGCGGGTCGGTCATTCAAATACCTAACAACAGTCTCATCTGCAGCAGAAGAACATGGGCTTTCAAAATCTCTGCTGCGTAGATCCCGCTCATCTCGATCATGTATCATACGGCCTATTATTTCCATCTTCCCTTCTGCTTCGCTGAAGTCCAAACTAGAGAGCAATTGCTTGGCCTCAAGTTGGCTGGAACCATGATAAGACAGAGAACTATATGTATCCCTGGTGTAACAGAAGGAAAAAAAGAAGTCACCATCAGAAATACACTGTATGACCTTCCAAGCCAGCAATCAGCATATTCATTAACTGTAAGAATGACTTCCCATACCTCATCTCCACTTTAAAGGTAAGCTCTTTTAAAGTTTCATCACCACACATCTAATAGCACAAGTGTAATAAAACTGAAAGAGGTTTCCTGTTAAAAATTTCATTTTCTGCACTTTCTGCCTGAACATGACTATATATAAAGTTGAAGAGCTGAATTTAGGGTATGTAGAAGATCAGCAAACAGTAATGTCACCCTTCAGTTTAAAAACAACTTAAAATAAAAAACAAGCGTAAAACTTGTTTTACACTTTTCTAAAACAAAGCAATGCCCAGCTTCTTCACAGCACAGCCATTAGCTGAGAAAACAAATAAATTGCACAAGAAAACCCTGTCCTATATTTGAGCATTAAAAAGGCAAGCCTCTGACAAGAACTTCAGACTGAACTGGATGTATTGCAACAAATTTAAAGCCTACTGGGAGCTTAAAAATTCAACAAACTAAGGATCTCTTAGCATTTTGTATTTAATGTTTTCACCAGTGAGAGGCTGAAGATGTTAAAATCTGGCACTTGCGCTACCTGGTTTGCTTCTTCAGCAAGTATGTTTAAAGAACAGACCTCAAGTCAAGTCATAACACTGTATTTGTGAAATTGTCTACCTATATTTCCCCAGTAGCACACTGCTGTCCAATCCACATAAAAATTGAGTGGTTTAAATGCACAAAATTTCACCTAAAGTGTATATAAATATACACACAAGCAGATTGTTTTACCCGTTATTCTGGCTTTTGTTTTCCTACGCACACTTTAAGCATTGACCACAGGCTGCTCTGAGAGCAGGACTAATATGCTAACCTAGCAGCTCTGACGTTACTTCCCAAATTAACCTCCCCAATGCCACACAGTTCTTTTTACTGTAAGAAAGCCATTCTTTCCACCTGGATGTAACAGCAGGAGTCTAGCTGTTCTCATTTTCTTCTTTTCCCTAGAGTCCGTTAAATTTACCACATAGTTTAGAAGCAAATAACTGATGTAAGCTATTCCAGATAGGGAAGACAACAAAACTGACCCAAGATCACACAACTGATTCACATCAGCCTCCCATGCATCAAACAAGGAGAAAAGCCTCACAACTGACAAGTAGAAAAGGAGACTAAAACTCAGATCTTAGGATAACGATTATTAATGGAGATCTAGTGGAATTTCAAAAAATACCACTGTCCCAACTCCACTCTAATCAGTCAAGAGCAACCCCCAATTCACTGGGAGAACATTTAGAAAAATATGCAAACTATGTGGTAGAATCCAATAAGAAGACTATTACCAACCCAGCAAAGCTAATCATCAGGGATGCCTGTGCAAAGAACACACACTGCTTAAAAAACACAAAGAATTAAAGAAGTTATGGTAGAAGTCTTTTAGGCTCTGATATTACAGCAAGTTATAGATAGTTTATTTCTGCTGCAGGTTCTAAGTTTTTGTGGCATCTTCTGTTCATTACGGCCCTTAACAAAGACTAAGAAAAATAGGCTTTCCATATTTTCCTTCATTCCTCATACCCCACCATGCTCTATGGCCTCCAATATTCCATGCCACTTTTTCTCCTTGATACAGCTATTCTTCTTTGGATTTCTCACACACATGAACTGAATGCAAATTTAGTACTAGATGTTCTTGCTCTACACTGTCTTATTTGGGAATATGTGATGAAGAACTAATGAAACAAAGTTGGATAAACAGGAGGAAATACTCTTTTTGGTCCTTATAACTGAAACAAAAAACCTATCAAACTTATCAGGCCACTGAGGCCACAGCCACATTAATTTGATGATCTGGCTCTATATCAAGACATCTGGTTTTAAACTCATATTCACTGAATGATAAATAAATTTGTATTTTTTTTTTTTAAAGGAAGACACTTTTGTCCAACACCACATGCTGGTCATGTGGGTGGGTGAGGAGAGGAAGCAAATCATTTTTTGAGCAGCTGTCAAAAACGTCACTATTAGCTTAATTCTGATCTTAGCATATTTTTCTTTAATAGTCAACTTTCTCAGCACTAACCTGTATGAAGCTAGTGGTTCACGAAATTCTACATGATTGCTTTTTTTCACGTTGCTTTCAAGAGTGGTCGCTCGAAGAGGGCTGCGTGAGGATTTCTCCTTGCTTGATTTATTTTGGCTGGAGGACCGGGAAGCTGAAGCAGAAACCAAAGAATTCTTTATGTACCTATCTCTCCACAACGAGAAAACTCTTGGGGGAGCAATTAAGACCACAGTTTTTCTTAGGTTTGAGCAGCACTCCAAAATAGCATTTAAAGTACTACTTCTCTTTTTCAACAAGCTGATTTCAGCAACTAGGAGCAAGGTGGTACGTACTTGAAACAATGATCACATTTAAAGATAGATAATAATGTTTAAACATCAATTAAAAGTAATTAAATTTGTGAAAGCTGTATTGCCACTAGAGGTCGACCTGTCTGTCCTTCTCCAGCAGCACACTACCAGAACGCTCTAAATAGTATTTAAAACTAGGGCTTATTTCTTAGAAGCAAATGTTTTCCTTAAAGGAAATAAAGGGAGCATCAGATTTATCATTCTATCAGGGTGTAACAGTTAACAAACACTAAAAAATAGAAACAGCTAGTCCAGTGTAAACAATTGTTACCCAACACCCCCCAGAACTATGGTATGAGAACGGGATAAACACTGCTCACTCACAACATGAGAAAGTCCTGTCCCTCCCTGTAACCAAGTGACTGTGATAGCACACTTTCCTTCCTAAGCTAAGGGAAGAAAACATTAGTTTCTCTTGGGCAATTAGTTTCATGAATAAAGATAATTAGCAGGAGACTATGTGAGGGCAGGGAGGAGAAATCCACTTTTCCCAGATCACAGTGGCTTTACCCTGCCTTACACACTATGTTCTCAATAACACATACCTTTTCTGCTTATTTTCCTGCTAGCACTAGCAGAGGGCTTCTTGGCATCCATGACAGAATCAAATACAGCCGTGCTGGTGGGAGCTATTTCCAATTTGTTCTCTATATGACGTAGCTAGAATTTGAAGATAATGCAAATTAGAATAGTGTTTTCAGTTTTTAGGCTACAGGGTTTTATTCCTATAATGTGACAAATTTTTCCTCATTTTCATAAAGAATAAAGCCACAGGCAAAAGCAATTTCACAAGGCTGATACTGCAAAACTGCACAGCCTTATGGCCAGAAACTACATCAGATTATTAAGTTTTGTTTAAAAGGATTATCTAAATTAGGTCTTGCTGCATATTTCTGTTTCCATAAGTAGGCTGTTGTGAAAAAATTAAAATTAAAATTTAATAATAACATGCCATGCAGAGTCTTAATGCTTGGCCTGAGTGAAATATTAACCTCACTTGGAAAAAATTCTGTAATATTCTTTTCAAAATCGAGCATGATACAAGATTCCACACATAAACCCCCACACTGATGCTAAGCTATTAAAAAAGAGAGAGGGACAAGGCTATGTGAAAGAGCTGAATTCCATGACAAAACAAGCTATTTGGCTTCACTGAAACCAGGCTTCAGAAACTAGTCAAGTTCTTGTAGAAAGACACCAATTCCAGTGCTCAAAGATGGGAAATGAAATACACTGATGTTGTCCCAGTTTCTGACCAGTAAGCAGGAGAGAGCTATTTTTTCCAAGTTTTCATAAGTCACCACTTTCTAAATAGAAAGATAATACTAAACTCAAGACTCAGCATGTGTTACCTACACTCAAGATTGAGCTTGCTGTGGCAAACATTTCTTCTGCTGCACATGAAAAACTGTTTCCAAGATACAACAATGGCCAACATGCATGTACTCCAACTGCTTGCCTTATTTTAAACTGTTTAACAATCACTGAACAAAACAATACCTTAGTTAAAAGTTTTGTAGCCATTAACCGATTTGAAAAGGAGTAAGAACAAGTACTTACAGCAGCCTTAGTCTGAGAAAAAGTAGTCCATGCTGCAGTTAGATCTTACAGAGCAGGGGGCAGGAGGGGGAGGGAAGAAATACATTAATACATGGAAAACAATGAAATAAAATGTTGCTTCAAAAGAATTTTCATGGGCTCACTAATCAGATTCTTCTAATGACTCAATTCCAGCCTGTCAGTCTCCTCTATGAGAGGCTGTTATCAGTCAAAATTCATCCTACCACAGCAATAAAGTATGTAATGTAAAATGAGTATGTAATGTTAATGAGTTCACTACGTTAAGTTGATTGTATTATTACACTTGAAATCGAATCTACCATGTTATAGAAGTTGTTTAGAAGACAAAATAAAAGCTGGTTATCTACCCCAATGCAAATATTTTGCATTTTTCCATTACACTATAGTTTAACTACTTTTTTTCCCTTCCATTTTCTTCTTCAGTAAATTAAGCATGAATACATGATCACTGAAAGACTCCACTCAACAACAAGTTTTGAACATGTGAGTTTTGAACTGTGCATCTAACAAACAAAGTAGTAGCAATGCTTGCAAAGAATAAAAGCAGGAGGCACTAATCAACTTCAGACTTTTATTCTAAGCAAATAGCACTTGCTCTTTGCACAAACTAGGTCAATAGGATACAGCAGTATTTTCAGTTCCCCTCTTCTTTTGGATTCTAACGGTTTTCTTCTAATGTAATGGTTTATACAACACAACATCCAAAACCTTAATGTGTGTCAGAACCATCGAGAGTAGTAGGGTCAGAGTGGGTTTTTTAAATAAATAAGTATTTTCCTTATAGTTGAAAAGCTGCCAATTTTATTTCAGGTAAGATAACCCTCTTCCTTTGCGTTACTGTAAGGAAGTAGCATAGAAACAACTTCACTTTGACATCGAAAGACAGTGCTTAATGTCTGTAGAACACCTCAGTTTCACAAAGTATGTAATTTTAAAAGAAACTGAGCATATCACAGAAAACAATCAGCAATAATGTCCTCTTACAGAAAAAAATAATAATCTGCCTCTACTTTCAAAGTAGCTTCTGGAGTCCAGTTTTGTCATAGTGGAGATCGTAAGACTAATCTTGAACCACAGACTTAACATGCAAATCAGCTCTACAGACTAGAGCTTTCTTCCTCCCAGGGATGTACTGTAATTACATGACAGTAGAAAGCAAACAGGATTTCTCCAGTTCAGGGAGACAGAAGTACTGCAAGTCATCCTAGTTGAGATGTACTACTGCTACTCAAGTGTCCTTAGCTCTTCACCACTTCGGAACTGAGCAAGAGTCAGAAGCTACTGCCTCTCAGCCTCGTCACTTCTTTCAAGAGCCTACAGTTCAGTTTCTGTTCCTGCACTGCTCCTCCTCTACAGTACTAAAAAAAAAAAAATAAAATCCATCTCTGTGCCATCTTGGCAACCGTATGATAGCCTGGCAATTCCTAATGCAGATCAGCAAATAACTGCTGATCAGAATATGAAACTGCTATCTCTGCAAAAAGGAAGCCATATAACACACAGTCTTCACTTCCAAATTGAGGCAAGAGAATACTTTCTGTAAGAACCCCCTAAAGTTTCAAACAACATCATCTTCCAAAACAAAGCAATAAAACTGAGAAAATCCCTACCTCTGGCAGAATCCTTTGTTTGGTTATGCCTCAGATTTTGCAGAGGCACCTCTTTTGACTTGTTGCTCCACATCATGTCAATTTATCTACAAAAAATATAAGTAAATAGTTATGTAAGAATCAAAGGGGTATAAGGTAAGAACAAATGTATCTTATGCTAAAGAGAACATAACCTTGATCACTATGATGAATTTTCACCTCATATGATTTCAAACTCAGATCAAGAACATCAGAATATCAGCATGAAATCACAAATGTGTTTACAGCTTGCACTTTTTCAGAAACCATGTAATTCTGTGGACAAAGAGGGTTTTGCTCTTCTTCTTGTATATTACAAAGAAGAGTGAACTTGATAAAAAGAGGTCACACAATTTAGATCACAGTAATAAGTATTCCAGTAAGTCTGAAGATGACCATTCTGAAATACTGCACATGAAGGAGTAACAGAGACAGCACTACATGGATTGAACCTACAAAATACCCAATTCTGCCAATAACAGATGAATGTGTCACCTCTATCTGTTAAAGGAAGAGGCAGAAGAGAATTGCGCAGCAGGACACTACAACCAGGAAAAAAAGACAAGACATGGAGCTGCCATGGTTTTTCTGTGAACTTCAAAGGTAGTCTAAAAGAGTGTGAACTCTGAGTAACAAACCAGGCAGCCACTATCACCAAAGGAATTCTTTTATGAAGGCGAAAAAATAAAAGCTACACAATCAAGAAAGGTAATCTTAAAAAGAAAAGGCATGTAATTTATGCAACTCATTATTTCTCATTAGTTTCACTGCAAAGGATGGGCTGTCATATGCAAAGTTGAAAAAGACTTGAAAGAAGTGCTATATAAGAAAAATAGTAAGTATAAGAAATCTAAGAGGGGTTCGTAGAGCCAGCAAGAACTCTGATTAGCAAGTCCTGCCACTACCCTCTCACCAAGGACCTTCTGTCTGGTGGCATGTCCTTACTGAGCTGTCTTCACAACAGACTGAGGTTTCTGCTAGGGAAAAGAAAAAATTAGGTGACCATTATTTCATACAGGAAGTTCTAGACTTCTGAAAGAGCCATAAAGGCGCATTTTCCTCTCTCTACACTTCATTTCTGAAGCTTTCTTTAGCTTTCACTTCCCTATATAGTGTGCCACATAAAAAGGGCATTCAAATATGCAGGTCATTCTTCTGATAAAAAGTGATCAAACATCTCACAAAATTAACACTGTGTACTACTTACTGAAACAGATCATTGCCTGTATATTTTGTGATACAGATTTTTATCATATATGGTTTCAAGGACACTCACAGTGACCAGCAGTGAAGCCTGGTCCTCACATTCAGTTATACAGCTTGTATTTAAGTCAGTAGTTTACTCCACAAAGCTTTTGCTATGCCCCAAGACTATCAATAACAACAGCACAGGTCTTCAAAGGACCTTTAGTTGTGACTTTCTTTAAAGAATCCAAATAAATGTTCAAAAGACTGTGGAAAAGGTAAGTGAGCTTAAATATATAGGTACAGTAAAATACACATACACACAGAGTGACATCCACAATAACACAGAAGTAGAAAGAAGTAGGGGGTGTTTTGCCTTCTAAGTATCTAGTTCAGGGCAGCGAGCCAAGTGGTTATAAGATTCTGCTTCTAGGACAGGTGCTGCAGAGCTCATTCATGCACAACTTGTGCCTCACGTTATTCATGCTGTAAACCATAAATGAAATGTAGAAAAACAAGTATTAATAAAAATGGGGAATTTTTTTATAAAGAACCTATTTTGAAAGCCACTGAAAATCTCATAAGATACCATTATGTTTCTTGCCCAAACACAAACATAACAAAACCTACTCAATACGTAAATTTAGCATAAGAGAACTTCCCGAAAAGCAACCATTTCTTAAGGGATTTAGTATTACTCTTCATGTAATTGCTTGAAATTTATTCTTATAATCAGAATTACTGGTATAGACAGGAGAACTTAGTCAGGTACTAGACACAGGACATGACAGCATTCTTTTCTACAAACGTCATTCCTATGTGAAGACATGGAAGAGACCTGACAGATCAGTAAGCACGTAAGACACCAGAGAGGAGGAAATGGAAATAAAGAGAAAATCACTGCCAAAGAAAAAAGTAAGATGAGAAACTAGTACTACGTTTACTAATAAGGATACCAAGGATGGTGTTGAAGGTACCACAGATAAAATAACTAGTCAACTTAGTTAAGAGGACACGGAGACAGGAAAGTAGAATAAGCTTAGCAAAGGTACACAAAAATGTGAAGACATGAAAAACATGGCTGCTAAGAAGAGAAAGAAAAGTGGTGAGAGAAGCAGGATATAAAAATAGAAAAGAATGGAGAAAGACAGGAAGGAGAGAAATGGAATGAACTTTTGAAGAACTGGCATAGAAAGCAGCAAAAAGGAAGAAAAGAAACTGATATATTGGTCCAATTGTAGTTTTTCCAAGTATCCTCAGAGTGATTTTTTTCTTAGTTGCACAGCCTCTGTAAGAAAAGGAAAGAGGAAACTCAGAAATCATGGCACAGCACTGAAGCAAGGCAACAGGAGGAAGCTGAATCATACAGACACAAAGAAGGCAGAGAATGTGAGCAAGAGATCACCCAATGTTTTCATTGACATTTAGTAGTTATGCAAAAAAAACCCAGTATGCATAGGGAACAGTATTCCTCAAGACTTCATTTCTTATAAAAACAGAAGGGATACCAAATGAAAGGGATACCACAAAAGAACACATGAAGCTTTGTGAAAAGTAGAGAAAGCAACAAACTACTTACTTCTATGTGGTATCCTTAAATGTTTAATCCCCAAAGTAGTGGGTTTTGCTACAAACTGGGTATACGGTGCAGGGGCCACCGCTTCACAGTTTGAACTACACTAAGGAAGCAGTGCCAATAAAAGAAGCCATCTTTTCCTTTCTTTATGCCTTGGTCTCTCTTGCCTTATTCAGGCAGAACGTCAATGGGATTATGTGGACTGTTATTATTATTATTATTCTAGTCTGGTAAAGACTAGAAGTAGCTTTTTTGGGTTTTTTTGCTTTACTAGTTTTAGCTATGTCATACCATAAGCTACGATCTCCTTGCAAGCAGAATGAGAAGGATGGAAACATTGGGGAACAGCCAGATCCGTCCCAGTCCTATACTAGCTACTGTGGAGTAGTAGCTAGTATATATAGAACATCTATATAGCTAGTATATACCAGTATATATGTTCTATATATACTATAGCTAGTGTATACAGAACATCTACAGTGTTCCCCAAAAGCAAATGTTTGAGGCTGCTACTGCCTTTCCCTCAAGGAGAATGAGTGCGACTGGAGAAAACAAGAACCATTCCCATCAGCTTCTTCTTACCAGCGGAGATACCACTGGAGCTCAAAGACACCACAGAAGCCAGAGCCTACACACCCTGCTCCAGTGTGTCCCACTGCACCTATGCCTTGTACTGCGCAGACAACTTGTCCATGGGGAAATAGACACAGAGACATATAAAAGGTTTTAGGGATGTTTTTTTCCCTGTTTATAAAAATATTTTAAGTTTTCATATACACATAATTGAAAGTTGACTTCTGAATCCCTAAAGACCCTCTGGAGTGCCTGTCTGTGCTGCTACAGTTCTGCGTTATTGGCAGTAACAGACATACACAGGTGAACAATCAGACTGGATCAAGCAAACTATTTTTCTGAGCCACCCCACTGAAAGTGATGAAATTTCGATTTAAAGATGCCAGAAACACTTTCTATGTCTCCTCAAATACCACAGAATTCAGTTTATGATGATATGCTTGAGTGTGGAATACAAATACCTTTATCTACTCATTTTTGTGGAATCCAAGCTTTTACCAGATTGCATTATCCCATTTAAATGAGCTAAAAATACTCATAATGTATTGTTCTAAGATTTATATATATATATACACACACACACACACACACAGAGACACATTTTGGGCTTTTAAGATTTTTTTTTTATACAAAATTAATATCTCTTTTTGTGGGTTTTTTGGCCTGAAGATATTTTGAGAAAACTTTGCCTCTCCAAGCAAGATGCAGGTAATTTACTGACCTTCCTCAGGACTGAGGACAAGTTCCAGTGGAACAAACAAATCATGACACATTTGTCAAAACAAGTGCGCCATCTCCAGCATCTATAGCCGACTCTGCAGAATCAGGCAGGTCCTCCCCCCACCTTCTTTCAATACTCATTTATATAACAAGCCTCCAAATTAAATGTATTTGAGGGACAAAAGTTCTGAAAGGAAGTTAATGTTCAAAATCCAAGTACAACTCCAACTGCATAACACTTCATGGACCCAAACTTCATCTTCACACTTCTCCACCATATTATCTTGAGTCTATAATCTCAGCTTTGTTCCTCCAAAATTATTTCTGCTACAAAGTTGGGGATTTTTCTTCTTATGATTTTTAAGGGGTGCAGAGCTAAAGAGTCAGTGAGATCAAACTACTCAGAGTGCCTTTACAGGTAGTTTTGCTGGTATTTAATCTGACTGCCTGCTATAAGTACTTGCCTTAGAAATATTCTACTGGTTCAGACTGCACTGCATCCCAAGAGCAAGTCCACATGCAACTACAATGGACACAATCATGTAAAGCTGATGCAAGAAAAAGCTAGAAGTAACAAATACCAACAATGCCCAAGGAGCTTGTGAATGTTAGCTGCTCTGAATGAGTGAAGTTTTAGATAATATTCAGTATTTTGTCTTGTAATGCAAACAGTAAATAAACCAGAACTCCTCACATTTCAATCATTATGACTTTGGAAAATAATAATTACAACAAAAAAGCCTCAAAAGTAAAATAAATGTATTGATAAACTTTGATATGTCTTAAGCTAGAAAAAAGTAAAAAAGTTTTTAGGGATATTAAGGTAGAAAAAAAAAAAGAAAAAAAATGCGAAAAAAATAAGAGAGCAATCATGATATACCACACACTTGCAGACAGAAAAGCGGGAAAGAATTTCAAAGCACATGTCACTACATCTAACTGTTAACCAGAAAGATAAATGACATCCACAGTCATACATCCATCAAATGTCAGAAAATATA